TATTCTTGGATAAAGATTTTACTTATACTACTGATAGTTGCCTATGATGCTGATAGCAAAAGGTTAGCAACATTTCTCTGATAAATGGTCATTAGCATGTAGTTGGGGGAAATATAGTTTTAGCTTCTGTTTGCTTGCTTGCTTTATTCACTCATTTCAGTACCTCTTATGCTCTTAAGGAAACTTTCCTGCCTGACCATTCAGGAGCCACTCTGGGAGTTACACTCACACCACCAGAGACCCTGCAAATGCTTTATCTTGTACTACCTATGTAGGATATTTATTTTACTCTCTAGCATATCGAAATTGATTTTTCATGGTACTGCATGGATAAGAATGTGATAATTGAGGGAACATTTGACAATGTTTAAAGAACCTTGAGGGAAGAAAAATTCACTGCTTTGAAAAAAATTATGGAAGGGTCTGTCTGTAATAGCAAAGACATAAGGTGCCTGAAGTAACTGTCTAATTATGTTTTCTGACACTTCAATACAATGTAGAGATTCACTATTATTGTACCATAAAAAACAAGGCTGTAAATGATAAGGCTGATTTGTGCATGTTTCTAAATTAAATAATTTGCCCATGTCAAAGAGCCAGATTCCATTGATTTCTGCTTTGAAATTTGATGAAGTTGTAAAAGTATTCTTCAGTAATGCTTCCCTAAAGTGAAAGGCATAGGAAGTGATTTTATAGAGATAGTGAAAATTGCATGCTTTTCCATCAGGTGAAAATGTACTCAATATATTTTGTTATTGGTAGATGTCCTGGCTATCTCCAGCAGCTTCTACTGGGATCCTACAGTTCCAAATTGGCTCCCAATGAAGATCAAGTCTGCAATGACTGACACTTGGGCTAAAAAAGAAGTGTTTACATTATAGGTGTTCTCGTCCCACCTAGAGTAGAACTATTCTAATTGATATTAGACCAATTCCTCTTGCTTCAACTATGCTTGGATTGTTCTGAATGAAGGCTGCTTTGTGTTGAATGCTTTTGATGAGCTGGTGTTCTTCAACAGAGTGGGAGGAGAAAGCACTACAACGACCTGGGAGAAGAAAGAAAGAAAGAAGAGTAATTGTCATAGGTGACTCTTCTTGAGGGGAACAGAGGGCCCAATATTCCAGCCAGACCCATCCTACAGGGAAGTATTTTGCCTCCCTAGGGCCTGAGTAAGAGACATTGTGAGGAAAATCCCTGATCTGGTACGGCCCTCTGATTATTACCCACTGTTGGTTGTTCAGGTTGGCAGTGATGAGGTTGAAGAGAGAAGTCCAAGGGCAATCAAAAGGGACTTCAGGGCACTGGGGCAATTGATTGAAGGGGCAGGTATGCAGGTGGTGTTTTCCTCAATCCCTTCAATAGCAGGGAAGAACACTGAAAGGAACAGGAGAATCCACCTGCTTAACACATATGTCAGAGGCTGGTGCCATCAGTGGAATTTTTGTTTTTTCAGTCATGGGGTGGTTTACATGGCACCAGGCCTGCTGGTGACACACAGGGTTCACCTGTCTCAAAGGGGAAAAAGGATTCTAGCCCATGAGTTGGTGGGGCTGATTGAGAGGGCTTTAAACTAGGTTTGAAGGGGGAAGGGGATAAAACCAGGTTCACTTGAAAGGAGACTAGGGGCAACATGCCGGTGTTGGGGGTGAAATCAATAGCCCAGCTGAAGTGCATCTACACCAATGCACACAGTATGGGTAACAAAAAGGAGGAGCTGGAAGCCATTGTGCATCAGGCAAGCTCTGACATAGTCACCATCATGGAAACATGGTGGGATGACTCGCATGACTGGAGTGCTGCAATGGATGGCTACAAGCTCTTCAGAAGGGACAGACGAGGAAGGAGAGGCAGTGGGGTGGCTCTATATGTAAGGGAGTGTTTTGACTGTACAGAGCTCAAGGATAGTGACAATAAGGTTGAGTGCCTATGGGTAAGGATCACGGGGAAGGCCAAAAAGGCTGATATCCTGGTAGAAGTCTGTTATAGACTACCCAACCAGGATGAAGAGGCGAATAAAACATTATACATGCAGCTACCAGATGTCTCATGATCACCAGCCCTTGTTCTTGTGGGAGATTTTAACTTGACAGATGTCTGCTGGAAACTCAACACAGCAGAGAGGAGGCAGTCTAGGAGGTTCCTGGAGTGTGTGGAAGAGAACTTCCTGACACAGCTGGTAATTGGGCCTACCAGGCACAGCGCCCCATTAGATCTGCTGTTTATGAACAGAGAAGGGCTGGTGGGAGATGGGGTGGTTGGAGGTCATCTTGGGCACAGCAACCAAGAAATGATAGAGTTTTCAATTCTCATTAAAGTAAGGAAGGGGGTCAACAAAACTGCTACCTTGGACTTCTGGATGGCAGAATTTGGCCTGTTCAGGAGGCTGGTTGAAAAAATCCCTTGGGAAACAGTGCTGAAGGGCCAAGGGGTCCAGGAAGGCTGGACATTCTTCAAGAAGGAAATCTTAAAAGTGCAGGAACAGACTGTCCCAATGTGCCATAACATGAATTGGTGGGGAAGAAGACCAGTTTGGCTGAACAGTGAACTTTGGCTGGGACTCAGGGAAAAAAAGAGAGTTTACCACCTGTGGAAGAAGGGGCAGGTAACTCAGGAAGAGTACAAGGATGTCGTTAGGTCATGAAGAGAGAAAATTAGAAAGGCGAAAGCCCATCTAGAACTCAATCTGGCCTCTGTCGTAAAAGATAACAAAAAATGTTTTTACAAATAGATTAATAATAAAAAAGGGTCAAAGAGAGTCTCCATCATTTATTGGATGTGGAGGTGAACATTGCCACCAAGGCTGAGGAAAAAGCTGAGGTACTTTATGCCTTCTTTGCCTCAGACTTTAACAGAAAGTCCAGTTATACTCAGGGTACCCAGCACCCTGAGCTGGAAGACAGGGAAGGGAAGCAGAATAAACTCCCCGTAATCCAGGAGGAAGTAGTTAGCGATCCGTTCTACCACCTAGACATTCACAATTCTTCACTGAAAGAGTGGTTAAGCATTGAAACAGGGAAATGGTGGAGTCACCATACCTGGAAGTGTTCAAAAAAGGAGTAGGTGTGGCACTTCATGATATGGTTTAGCAGACATGGTGGTGTTCAGTCAAAGGTTGGATTTGATGATCTTGGAGGTCTTTTCCAACCTTAATGATTCTTTGACTCTATGAGTCAGGACTCCAAATGCAGTTGGTTCCATTTCAGTACTTCTTATTCCTTCAAAAATAAGGCCCAGAAGAGGACCCAGGTAACTACAGGCCCATTGTCTTACTTCAATGCCTGGGAAACTAATGGAACAAGTCCTCCTAGAAACTATTACAATCCAAATGAAACATGCGATTGGGAAAAGCCAACAAGAAAGACGTGAAGAGACTGGAGTAGGTCCAAAGGCAGGCCATGAAGATGATCTAAAGACTGGAGGATCTGCCCTATGAGGAAAGACTGAAGGAGTTGGGTCTTTTCTCCCTGGAGAAGAGAAGGCTCAGGAGGGACCTCATCACAATGTTCCAGTACTTAAAGGGCACCTAAAAAGAGGACGAAGGCTCTCTCTTCACAAGGAGTCACATGGAGAAGACAAGGGATGAGTTCAAGTTGTACCAGAAGTTACCATCTCAATTTAGGAAAGAAATTTTTTACAGTGAGAACAATCATTCATTGAAACAACCTCCCCATGGATGTGGTAGAGTCTTCCATCACTGGAGGTTTTCAAGATGTGATTGGACAGGGCATTAGATAATCTCATCTAGATTCCCTTTCCCACAACAGGTTGGATCAGGTGATCTTTTGAGATCCCTTTCAACCTGGACTGTTCTATGATTCTATGAAATATTCTACTCAACTGACAGGTTTCAGAAAGTGGAAATCAAACTCCTTTAAAGTTAAAAACCATAAAAGGGACAATAAAATAGGAAGAAAATGAATATTTGGTAGACTGAGGAAAGTTGTGAGGAATTAATAAGTGTAGAGAGGCTTTAAAACATGATAGTCTTTAAATCTATGTGAAGCAAAAGGTTTCTAACAGGGTTAGTGGGGGCAGTTCAGGAAGACAGTTATTGTAAAGAAGCTCAATTTTCTCTGTATTAGTCATCTGCAAATAGCTGCAAAATTTCTTAAAACTCATCACATCATATCTCTTAACTGTAATTATTATAGGGAATAAGAGAAGAGGTCTAGCTAACCATTTTAAGCAGGGACAAGCAGTGAAAAGGAGAGGTAACTATTTCTGTTCAGGACCAAATGTGAACCTGGAGGTGAATGGTTTGCATATCGCTAACACTGACAACTATAGGAGCTAACTAGTCCCAGTAGAACTTCAGTAAAATACACAAACCTAAATCAAGTTTTTCATGGTGGTTGTTTTTGATCAAATTGCCTTTACCTGTTTGTTACTATTACTGCACTAACAAGTTAAAAGATGAGGCACCTCTGTGCTGGGATAGCAGAGATAATTTGTACTCCAAACATTTAAAAATGTTTTTTACAGCTATGTAAGCATGCACCTAGTAGGAATGGAGTGCACATGCTGAACTAGAACTCTATATGACATCTATTTACTATCAAATATGGATTCCACTGGTGTGAAATCTATGCTTATCTTTTACAAAAAGGTCTTTGGATCACTCATTTATGTGTTTATAGACTAAATCTGTATCAGAGCAGAATTCCTGTGTTGAATATTATAACAAAATAGGACCTACCTCTTTCTCCTGAAGTAAATATTTACTCCTTTTTCTGATATAACTTCTGTGGTTGCCTTAGAATTAGTATTTAAAATATCTTGATGTTGCTAAAATATGCTTTAGTAAAAATGCTCAGGTGGTATTTAAGTTTGTGCATTATGAAGGCAGTAGGTTCTACAACTATAGTTGTTTAACTTCATGATGTTTTGATCTAGTCTGTTAAGTGTCCCTCTGTAATGTTAGCAGCAGTAAATAATATTGGAGTTTCAATATGGGAAGTAAATCACTCATTTGAGGGGTTTTTTTGTTTACATTGGCACAGAGTGAAGATAGTTCAAGTCCCAAGAGACAACGCCTTTCTCATTCAGTCTTTGACTATACAACGGCATCATCAACCGCATCACCAACAATGCAACCATGGGAGATGGCATCAAATAGGCATCCTCCCTTGGCTCGGTCCAACCAACATCACTTCTCCAGGGAACGCTGCAGTACACCTGCACAAAGTAGGAGGAGGTAAGTAAACTATTTAGATTAGGGACCAGTTTCTTATTCTCTCTATTGTCAACTTTTATGACAAGGTCACCCACCTAGTTGACCAAGGGAAGCCAGTTGATGTAATCTTTTTGGAATTCATAAAAGTTTTTGATACTCTCACAGGATCCTTCTAGACAAATTGTCCATCACACAGCTGGATAAACACATCATGCAGTGGGTGGGCAATTGGCTCATGGATCGATCATAAAGGGTAATAGTGAATGGGGTTACATCAGACTGGCGACCTGTCACTAGTGGGGTTCTGCAGGGCTCCATCTTAGGCCCTGTGCTCTTCAACATCTTCATAAATGACTTGGACGCAGGACTGAAGGGGATATTAAGCAAGTTTGCAGATGACACAAAACCGGGAGGAGCTGTTGACTCCCTTGAAGGCAGGGAGGCCCTGCAGAGAGATCTCGACAAATTAGAGGACTGGGCAATCACCAACCGTATGAAGTTCAACAAGGGAAAGTGCCAGATTCTGCACCTGGGATGGGGTAACCCTGGATATATGGACAGAATGGGGAATGAGATGCTGGAAAGCAGTGCCGCAGAAAGGCACCTGGGGGTCCTAGTCGACAGCAAGTTGAATATGAGTAAGCAGTGTGTCCTGGCAGCCAGGAGGGCCAACTGTGTCCTGGGGTGCATGAAGGCAAAGCATCGCCAGCCGGGTGAAGGAGGTCATTGTCCCGCTCTGCTCTGCACTGGTGCAGCCTCACCTTGAATACTGTGTGCAGTTTTGGTCACTGCAATATAAGAAAGATATAAGGCCATTAGAGCATGTCCAAAGGCGGGCAACAAAGATGGTGAAGGGCATTGAGGGGAAGCTGTATGAGAAGCAGATGAGGTCATTTGGTTTGTTCAGCCTGGAGGAGACTGAGGGGAGACCTCACTGCAGTCTACAGCTTCCTCACGAGGGGAAGAAGAGGGGCAGACACTGATCACTCCTCTGTGGTGACCAGTGACAGAACCCAAAAGAATGGCCTGAAGTTGAGTCAGGGGAGATTTAGAAATCAGGTTAGATATTAGAAAGAGGTTCTTCACCCAGAAGGTGGTTGGGTACTGGAACAGGGAAGTGGTCATAGCACCAAGCCTGACAGAGTTCAATAGGCATTTGGATGATACTCTCGGGCACATGATGTGACTCTTGGGGATGGTCCTGTGCAGGGCAAGGAGGTGGACTCAATGATCCTTGTGGGTCCTTTCCAACTCGGCATATTTCGTGATTCTGTGATTCTGTGAATTCAAGGGAAACCTATTTCAGGCAACACTGAATAGTATTTATTGTATGATACTCTAATAGTGTTTTGACTTTTTTTTTTACTAACTTCTAAGTGCAACAGAAAACTCCGTATTGAAAGTAATTTAAGTTCTTGCATCTTCCAATAATTTGTAAGAGTAGAGGGAAATTGGAGAAGAGAATAACATTTTTTATTATGAACTGTATTCTTTCTCTCATTCTGTACTGTACTAGGTGCCAGGTGCCCACTAAGCTGCTCTATCACTTCACCTCCTCAATAGGACAGCTAAAGAAAAATATGTCTAAAAGCTTGTGGGTAAAACTAAAGACAAGGAGATCACTCACCAGTTATTGTCATGGGCAAAAAAGACTGGACTTGGCAAAATTAATCTAATTTATTGCCAACTAATCATGGCTAGGCTTCATGAACGAAGATCTGGGGAGGGCTCTACCCACGTTTGTTACAAGCGCGCTGGTGGCCAAAAAGGCCAATACGAGATAGACATGTCCGATTGCAAAAGGCACAGCAGAAAGACTCCTTAGGTGGTATATTCTGCAAGACACGATTCTTTCTGCGTTGTCTTTTCTCCTCAAGAGTGATCCTGCATGCGTTCTCAAAGGAAGCAGCAGCATTATAGATAGTGTGTCTCCAGGCCTCCCGATTGGAGGCCAGAGTAGACCAGTTATGGTGGTCAATATGCCCGACGCTGAGATGTTGTTTCAGGGAGTCCTTGTATCTTCTCTTCGGGGCTCCTCTCTTGCGGCAGTCAGTGGCAAGTTCACCATAAAGCAGGATCTTAGGGAGGCGGTGGTCCTTCATCCTTGAGACGTGCCCTGCCCAATGCAGCTGTGTTCTCAGCAGCATGGCCTCAATACTTGTGACTGCTGCTTGTTCTAGAACAGATGTATTGGTCACATAATCTGACCAGTGGATGTTTAGGATTGTACGGAGGCAGGGCTGATGGAAGCGTTCTAGGAGATGCAGGTGGTGGCGGTAGATGACCCATGATTCAGAACCATATAAAAGAGTAGTCAGCACAATGGCTCTGTAAACACTGATCTTTGTAATTTTCTTCAAGTGTTTATTTCGCCAAACCCTTCTATGGAGTTTTCCGAAGGCACTATATACCTTGGCTGACCTGTTGTCTATCTCTCCATCAATCTCACCATCCGAGGAGATGAGGCTGCCTAGGTAATTAAACTGTTGGACTGATTTGAGCTCTGATTCACCAATGGTGATATGAGGATGATGGAAGACTTCCTGAGGTGCCAGTTGATAGAGAACTTTTGTCTTCTTTAAGCTGACTTCCAACCCAAAGAGCTCAGCAGCATCTGCAAAGCAGGATGTTAAACGCTGCAGAGCTGCTTCTGTGTGGGCAACAAGGGCGGCATCATCAGCATAAAGCAGCCCCCGGACAAGATGATTTAAGGTCTTAGTATGGGCCTTCAAGTCGCCTTAGGTTGAATAGGCTTCCATCAGTACGATATCAAATGTAGATACCATCCTGATCATCGAGGTCTGCAGTGGCCCTTTGGAGCATCATGCTGAAAAAGACTGTGAATAGGGTTGGTGCAAGAACACAGCCTTGTTTCACACCACTGGTTATTAAAAAGGGCTCAGAAAGTGCATCGCCATATCTGACTTGGCCATGCTGATCCTCATGAAGTAAGATGATCATTTTAAGGAATTTGGGGGGGCATCCTAAACGTTCCAAAACCTGCCATAGACCTTTTCTGCTCACAGTATCAAAAGCCTTGGAGAGATCGACAAAGGTTACATAGAGACCTTTATTCTGTTCCCTACACTTCTCTTGCAGTTGTCTGAGAACAAATACCATGTCTGTGGTACTCCTGTTGGCTCTGAAACCACATTGGCTTTCAGGTAGAATTCCTTCTGCTATAGCGGGTATTAATCTGTTCAAAAGTATTCTTGCCAGGATTTTGCCAGCAATGGAGAGCAGAGTAATACCACGGTAATTTGAACAGTCTGATTTAACTCCTTTCTTCTTATACAAGGTGATGATGACTGCATCACAAAGGTCTGATGGTAGTTCGCCTAGTTCCCAACAGCGCACCACAAACTCGTGAAATTTAGCATGGAGTGCAAGGCCCCCATGTTTCCAGACTTCAGGTGGAATTCCATCAACCCCAGTTACCTTGCCAATTTTCACCTGCTGTATGACCTTAAGGGTTTCTCCCAAAGTGGGGGCAATATCCAGTTCATACTTCACCAGTTGCTGTGTGATGTACTGAATTGCTGAGTCTTGGACTACACGGCTAGTACTGAAAAGAGTCTGAAAGTGTTCAGACCATCGATTCAGAATGGAGATTTTACCTGTCAGTAGTGTATGACCATCTGCGCTGAGTAGAGGGCTTTGGACCTGATTCGTAGGCCCGTATGCTGTTTTCAAGGCCTCATAGAATCCTTTGTGATCACCCGTGTCTGCGCATAATTGATTTTTTTCAGCTAGATTGATCCACCACCTGTTCTGTATGTCACGGAGTTTCTTTTGGAGCTTGAAAGGCTGCTTTTCTTACGAGACAGGATGGCAGTGCAAGGTGTGCTTGGTGAGCAGTTCTCTTCTTCCTCAACAATTCCTGGATCTCTTGTTTGTTTTCATCAAACCAGTCCTTGTTCTTCTTGAAGGAGAACCCTAAGGATTCTTCAGAGGACTGCAGGATGCTGTTTTTAATATGGTGCCAGAGTTGTGGTGGGGAAAAAAAGTGTTTTTCCCCCTGGAGTTAAAAAATGGTAACCCCCGAGGGAGTGGTGTCTCCCTTGGGGTTGATACAATCAGCACCCCTGCAAAATTTAAACATATCACACCAGCCCAGAAAAGAAGGAAGATGAGGTAGTTGGAGAACAAGTGGCCATGTTCTGAGACCACGAGGAGAGAGAGAGGGGCCCGGAGCCCCGCTGGGGGGCCAAAGCCCCCAGCCCCCAACTGGGGTCGTAGAAACTCAGAAATAAACTGAACCAAGTTCTATGACTGAAGGGCTGGGAGAGTCTTTCTCCACTGTGAGTGGGCAGCAGAAGACAGAAAAGCGGCAGCAGAGGCAGCGTTGAGTGGATGGCTATGGCTGAAAACCAAGAAGATAAGAGGGAAGCAGCAAAGACGGCATGCAGTAATGCAGAGAGATATCCTGCAAGGAGAGAGAGAGAGCCAACAACAGAATAGAGAAAGCTCAACAAAGACAGTTTTGGGGTAAGAACTGAATCAAACTCCCCAAAACCCCTTTGAGACCCCTCCTAGGGTGGACTCCTACTTGAGGGGAGCCTTGGAATGCAGCAGAGCCAGAGAGAGGAGTTGGGAAGCTCAGGACATCCTGAAGGCTGGACAGGGGCGTCCGGATGGAAGGCAGGGAAAGTGGCCTCGCTCCCTCGCTGCTGCTGCCAGGCTGGCAGACTGAGACAGAGCACAGGAGCTCTGATAGAAGGCTTAAGGCAAAGACTTTCAACTGAAAGCTGCCCTAAACGTTCTTACTTGAGGGAACTCAACCCCTCGAGGAAGGGACCTTCATGGGGGTCTTACACCCCATGATATGATGTGGTGAAGCGAGCTTTTGTCCCGGCAATCGCAGTCCACGGGAGAGAGACCTTCGATTGGAGTCGAAGGGCCGAGAGGGGTGAGAGGAGACCCCCTTGTGTGTAATGGAAAGAGATCCAGCTACAACTTCAGCTATGACTGCTGCATGGAAGAAGAGACACTGCTGCCCTGAAAGTGGAAAGGATCTTTCC